CTGACTCGACTCTTGGCTCGACTTGAACTACTGACGCCTTGTCTACTCCTGAGGCGCAGTATTTTTTAAGTATGGAATAGTCCATTATTATTATGGGTAAGATCCCATAACAATTATATATATATATATATATATATATATATATATATATATATATATATATATATATATATGTATGTATATATATATATATACACACACACACACATATATATATATATATATATATATATATATATATATATATAGAGAGAGAGAGAGAGAGAGAGAGAGAGAGTGTGTGTGTGTGTGTGTGTGTGTGTGTGTGTGAAAATATCAAAAATACTTTTACAAAGGTTGGGAGCGGAAGTAAAACAATGACCGCCGTTTCACGTGTGTTGTTGCCTGGCTCGTCTCTCTCTCAACCTGTAGAATGTGTTCTTAGTGGTCAGGCGTGCGAGCGGACCTAGAAATTTCCTCGATGCATACTTCATGGTGCCACGGATTCTGTCTCAGCAACGCGACGATAAACAACAGCAAAGGTTGGATGACTCGGCTTCCTTCAGAAGTGTAAATTTTAAATTCATTTTTCCGTCCTTGAAAGTGAAGTCTGAAGATCCAGAGAAAAAAAAAAAAAAAAAACTCTGGAGAAATAAATTATAACTAATGGAACATTAAAGTCGTCTGTTTTTTTTTTTGTGAAAAGTGTATATAAATATAAATAAATATATATATGTATAATTATTTATATATTATATGCGCGGTACCTATTAGAAAGTGCTCAATATCAGAGATAGAGCTAACATATTTGGTTGGATAGATGTGAGTTTTGACCCTGGGTTTCACGCTTTAGCGATCGTCAGACGTCTGACGATCGCTAAAGCGTGAAACCCAGGTTCATAAACTCACATCTATCAACCAAATATATATATATATATATATATATATATATATATATATATATATATATATATATATATATATTGTATTCGTTCATGCCTGACTACGGTAGCTCCTTGACCTTGGACCTGTCTCCTACGTAGCCGGAGTTTCTTCCCTTTTGTCGATACATGAAGAAAGAAACCTAATCCACTATATACTTCATTTAAAATCAACAAATCTACGTATATAATATTGTAGCCTCTGTCTGTTTGTTATCGAACTCCCCATTTTTGGGGGATAGCCCTCCCATAATAATTTATATTCTGAAACTACATTACCCAGTATACTTGGATAAGCATATTTCATTTTGATCAAAGAGAGTCCCGGGGACATAAACTCTCACTGATTTTTTTCCCTTTGATATAAATTAAATTTAAATTTGAACAAGGGAATGACTCCTATCCAAAATATAGGAGGCGAAAGCCAGAAGATGGAGGTCACATTGGTAAGATCAAAATGAGGCAATATGGACGTCAGGTTGAGCAAGAAATCACCAATCAGTGGGTAGCGCCTTACAATACATATTTCTTTCGACAATGCAACCGTCATATCAGTGTTGAGGTCTGCTCTTTAATTCATTCAACTGCATCAGTTGTATATCAAAGGAGTCAGATCAAGCTGTTTTTGCACAAACCGTTTTCCCTTTGATTTAAGTTAAATTTAGATTATGACAAAGGAATGATTCCTGTCCAAAATCTAGTGCCAGAAAATGGAGGTTACATCGGCAAGATCATTGAGTAATACTGAAATGCATTATTTTTCTCCACAAAGTATAACAATGATTTAAAAATCAATCATCATTTTCCTTACAAGAAAATGTCTGACTCACTTATTTATATATATATATATATATATATATATATATATATATATATATATATATATATATAAGTAACGGTTTTTGTTTACACTTGAAAAGACCGCCAGCGCCGCCAAGCGGTCATTTTGAGAACTAATACGACTTGTTCCGCTAAGACTGTAAATTCTGAAATACATCGCTGGCGATTTAAAAGTTTTTTGTTTTGTTTTTCTGCAGATTTTGTACGTTGCATCCGAAGTCCGTTGATGGGAGGTCTGTATATGAGAGGTTTGTCTGTAAAGTAATATTATCCTACAATACCTCCCCACCCCCACAAACCTTAAGTAGAACTCATATATACAATCCATCGCTAAAGATGCTAGAGAAACGGTCGGTCTCTCGTACCGCAGCAGTAAGCATCTAACACCTTCTGCAATGCTCTATGTTTACAAGCCCCAGATTAGAGCAAAGATTGAGTATTGCTGTTATATCCGAGAATAGTGTTGCCATATTTAGGCAGGAGCTGCCTAGACCGAAATTTCTTGTCTTGATAGTTTTCAAAAGCGCTTCCGAGTACTTGATGGAGAAGAATTATTTTCCACATTCCAGTCTCTGTCTTTCACAGGCGGGGTAGGATGAATCTCTCACCGCTCTGTCTCTACTTATATAGAAAGTGCTTGGACAAACGGCATCTCCTGGTTCCTCCAGGTCTCCTTCACGGTTAGGACCCGCCATGCCACTTACATAGTATCAAACCCCCGACATTTCCCCCATATTCCATCGACGAGACGTAAGTTCCACTCAAACAGCTTCTTCCCGCGAGCAACTACCCTATGGAACAGACTCCCTAGAGGATGTTTCCCCGATCACTATAATCTTAACCTGTAAAAGTCAACCGTTATCTTCCCCTCCTATCCATATAAACTACCCTTTAACGTAACCCTCTACCTCGAGTATTCCCCAGTCTTCCTACAGGTGAAACCTTAATGTAAAAAGGTTATAAGCTCTCATTCTCTCTCTCTCTCTCTCTCTCTCTCACTCACTACGTATCTAACATCCCCTTCTATCCTCTTTTCTTTCTCATTTCTTTTTCTTTTTTAGTTAATCAAAGAGGAATGAATCATATCGCAAATACGAATAACTGCTCCATGCAACAGACACCCAATCTTAACCTGTTCAAGTCTAGAGTTTATTGCTATCTTCCCCTCCTATCCATATAAACTATAACTTATTGTAACCCTCTACCACAAGTGGCTATCGGGCCTTGTACAAGGTGAACTTTATTGTAAAAAAAAAGGTTATTCTCTTTCTCTCTCACTCACTATCTAACCTCTCTTTCTATCCCAACACTTTTTTTTTCAAAATTCCTGTTTGGGGGGGGGGTTAATCAAAGACAAATGTTACATATCGCAAACGCGAATCACTGCCCCGTGGTACAGACTCCCAAGATGATGTTTCCCCGATCACTACAATCTTAACCTGTTCAAGTCTAGAGTCAACCGTTATCGCCCGCTCCTATCCATATAAACTACTCTATCGTAACCTTCTACCTCGAGTGGCTCTCCAGGACTTGTACAGGGTGAACCTTACTGTAAAAAAAGTCATAATCTCTCATTCTCTCTCTCTCTCTCTCTTCTTTCAATATATATCTAACCTTTCCTTCTATCTTCTTTTCTTTTTCATTTTTTTTTTTTTTGAGCTAATCAAACACATCGCCAGACGCGAATCACTGCTCCGTGTAACAGACTCTCAATCTTAGCCTTTTCAAGTCTAGAGTTAACAGTTAGTTATCTTCTCCTCCTATCCATATAAACTACTACTTAACGTAACCCTCTACCTCGAATGGCTCCCAAGCCTTGAACTGGGTGAACTTTACCGTTATACTTGCATAGTAGAGTCAACCTTTATCATCCCCTCGTATCCATTTTCAACTGAACCCTTTATTTAATCTAAAAGGGTGGGCAGTTCGATGTCTTATTTTTATTTACTTCTACTCAATTGCTGCTCACACATTTCCACTGGGTGTAAATACACACTACTCGACCCAGGGATTGAACTCACAACCAATATGCCACCAAATTCACAAGCCAACGATTTAATCCACTAGAGCATTGTAGGTTCAATTCAGAATTCCCTGTAGGTTACCCATATCGATTTAAAAAAAAATAAATATTTTTTAAATTATATATTTCTTTATGTTGTAACCTAGGTAAGGTTACTGAATAGAAGAATCTAACGAAGGTTGGTAATGGACGATAATACTTAGGACAAGAACAACACATATAAGATTCGCCAGCGGCGCGTAGAAGTAGTCATCTCCTAGAAGTGAATCAAGTGAATTCCACAATGAATCTTTAACTGCAGAATATCTACCAGCCGCCATTCGTGGTCAGATGTGGCACAAGGCCGAATTTAATGTGGTGTATTCGAGCCCGTAGGTTTGATTAAAAATTCACCGTAGACCCCGGTATTCAACGGGGTCGGGTAGCTGTTTCCCGAGACGAGATTTTGCCCTTCGACATAGCCTTCTCTGGGGATCCTCTCTGCCCGCAGGCAGGGAGTTTGATCAGCAAAGCTGGAGACGAACCCTCAACTGCAGATCAACATACAGTATTTACTACTATATTTATGTGAATGGCGACATTGACATTATCGTCCGTATGTATGGTAGAACACTTTATGAACACGACAGATGTTTAAAATGCTTTTACATCAGACCCATATCAAACGCTTTATGAATTCAAAAAGGGGGCTCTTTAGCAACGGAATATGCAAGACAAACCGTATTATACATCAGAAAATAAGGTAACTGACGATATACAGTTTTGACTACTGTCGATACGTTCAGAACCTCTAATCATTGTTCTGAAAACATTTGTCACAGTTTTTGACGGCAATTGCAAAGAACACAATACTCGCAAGAAAGACATATCATACCAGTATAGCAATTGAATCAATAGCGAACTGCATTCATTTATTTAATACAAAAACTACAGTGTTGCTGAGGTGATAAGAATTAGACAAAGACCAAGCTTTCAAACAGTGAATGGTAAATAGTTAATGAGCCTGGCTCAACTTGAGCTATTATGGATAGATCAATTAATAGTGACGGCTCTGGACATCCATAATGCATCAAGTGATAATTATCTGAAAAAGAAAAACGTTCATTGTTTGAAAGCTCGTAAAAAATTAAGCAAATTCCCATGGAAATCGAGATTTTTTTTTTATAGTTTTTGTTCTTTATCCAAATAATGAATGGGCGGAGATTCCTTGCCTCGGCATGACCTTCAGTCACCAGCAGCAGCAGCCGCAAGTGGATACCCGTTTTGTTAACCTCACATTCTATCCGACTCTCCCTCAGCAGTTCTTAATATTCTATCTATCTATCTATCTATCTATCTATCTATCTGAGTCTATACATGTCTCTCTCATTATATCCTAGTCAATTCCTATCTATCTATCTATCTGTCTGTCATGTCTGTCTCAGTATCTCTCTGACTCTCTCTCTCTCTATCACAGTCTTCTCCTATCTATCTATCTATCTATCTATCTATCTATCTATCTATCATGTCTGTCTCAGTATCTCTCTGACTCTCTCTCTATTCCAGTCTGCTCCTATCTATCTATCTATCTATCTATCTATCTATCTATCTATCTATCTATCTATTTGTCTGTCATGTCTGTCTCAGTATTTCTCTGACTCTCTCTCTCTATCCCAGTCTGCTCCTATCTATCTATCTATCTATCTTCATATATATATATATATATATATTAAGGCATTAAAAACTAGAAATGTAGTATTGAAGGCCATGATAAGTTTAAAATAAAACACAACAGTCGACCGGTTTCGTCCCCTCTCGTCAGAACTATTAATTGGGGAATTTAGATTATGAGAAAAAAAAAAAGTCTGTCATGGGTGACATGAATGAATGGACAGCGGGAAGGAAAACAAAAAAAAAAAAAAAATATATATATATATAAAATTATACCAACCAAGCTGCTAGAATCGCATCACAGCAAGTCCAAGCAAACAATCCATCTCTGTTTGCAAAGAGCAGGCTACCTAGACCTGATGTAAAGCTGTGACTCCAATTTTACCTTAAGATTTTTTTTTTTTGAGTTCCGAACTGGCCAAGACGGAAAACCAGTCCACACTGAAATCCATCGCTCATAATTAAATTCTTTATAAAATGATCCTAAGTCCAATGGAAGACCCATACTACATTTCTAGTTTCAAAATAATGAATGGTATCGCTACCAAAAGAAAATTCGAACGTTATATATATATATTGTCTATCAAATATATATATATATATTTTCATCATTTACTTAAATATTTGTATCTATAAAAAGAATGTTAAACATAAAAAAAATGTCCCCCCCATCCATATTGACGTCATTTGTTTACATTTTACGCTTTACTATTTCAAATTCATAGTAATAATATATATATATATATATATATATATATATATATATATAGGTTGAACTGGTATACCTCCTACAGTATAATGAACTCTTCCTTCTCTCATAAATACAATTAAGAGAGTCGGATAGGTTGGACGAGAATTAAGTAGTAGAACACGTAATCACTGCTAACACTATTGTTTTTTTTTTTAATACTAAACGACCTTCGTCTTCCGTGTTTTTTTTCTGGCCACAAAAAAATTATGTTGAAGTCAAAACAAGTCAGCCAGTTTTTTAAATTCCAAGCAAGATGTAAAAAGGAAACGCTTGTTTTTTTGTTTTTTTTTATTATTATTATTATTTTTCGATAATGTAAAACAAGTCAGGGCGAGGAAAACCACTAAAAAGTTTGTAAACTTTCTTATTTACGGGTATATGTGAAAAAGAAATTATTTCTTTCTTCAGACTCCTGCGGAGTATAGATTTTAGGAGGGGGGTGTTGTGGTAAACCCTCTTACACTATAATGAACTCTTCCTTCTCTCATAAATACAAACTGCGAGAGCCGGACGGGAGCGCAGAGTGTGAAGTGAAGTGGAGTAGTAGACGCAGTGCTAATCTACTTCTTACTAACACTATTGTTTTTTTTATATATCTTCAATATACTTTTTTCAACCGACCTTCGTCTTCCGTTGTCTTTCTTGCTGGCCCCTAAACAGGCCACAACACTTTTGCAGTTTGCGCTATCTGCCTATGTCAATTTTTCATGTCTATCTATCTATCTATCTATCTATCTATCTATCTATCTATCTATCTGTGTGTATGTGTGTGTGTGTGTGTATGTGTTCCTATCTATCTATCTATTTGAGTCAAATGCAACAATATGGGAAATGTTTAAACCAAGGATGGTAAATCTGACACCTAAATCCAAAGGCGACTTACAAATCGAAAGCGCAAAGTATTTATATACTTTTTCCTAAAATGCAAGAATACAGAAGAGCAAAAATAATAAGTTGAGAACTTCAAATTGAAGAAATCTGAATCAAGCAAGCACAACAATTTAAGCATGTTGCAAAGGACGAACAAAGTGACACCGAAGTCCGAAGTCGCCTTTAAATAGCGAAAGATGCCTACCAAAAGCTAAGCAAAGTATTTATATAAATTTTACTCAAACACTGTACGTATTTGACAATGTACTTTCAATCTAATCATTTATGATTGTAATGTAGTAGCTGCTTAAGTAAGAGAAAATTGGCAGACCTGAACGTTTCAGGACCACGAAAATAAGAAATGCAAAAGTTATGAGCTCCTTGATCCCCCTCTTAATTAACTGTTTGGGGCCAGGGTCCTTGTACCACGGTGATGGTCCAAGGTAGAACCAATAAAGAAGAACTCGAACACGGATATGGAATAACACAGATATATTACAAACAAGAATACATACAGAGAAGTAGAAAGTGTTAGTACGAACAATCAGGTTTAGTAGTAATTGCCTGAACGCCACTCTGTTTCGGACTGCCTCTGACTCGACTGACTGACTCGCTCTGACTGACTGACAGACTCCTGACGGACTTCTGACGGACCTCACTCCAAACTTCAGACTGAACGGTATTTAGTCACACCCCCACACGAGGGCATCACGTGGCACAAGGCCGGTTTAACGTGGGATCTCCGAGCCCGTGGGCTCGGCCAAAAATATGCCCTTTGAACCCGTATAAACGGGTTCAGAGTCGGTTTACCTCCCCGAAAGAGACTCTGCCCTTCGGCGTAGCCTCGTTCGGATTCCTCCCCGCCCGAAGGCAGAGAGTTCAACCGATCAGCCAGTCAGCCGGTCGCCCGTCTTCGGTCTGAACGATATTTATTTATACAATAGTATAAAATGTGGCACAAGGCCTAAAAGGGGGTGGGGGAAGGACGGTCTTCTTCTGTCTTAATTTTAAACTTAGCTAGTCACAGACACGGACCCAAACATACCAACAATGTTCGAATCACCAAAACAACGCATTCACTCCTACCTTTCTTACTGCGTCCACCATAATACCTCAAATTCTCTATGAAATCCTAACTAGTCCCCTTATGTACAGATATTGTTCGTGGGGGGCATAAAACAACAACTTTTATAAATATCCCCAAATGCCGTCTTCGGTTTGAACTCCCTGCTTCCTCTTGAGGCGCAGTATTTATTACGCATAGAATAGTCCATTATGTTATTATGGGTAAGGTCCCATAACATTAATATTATCCGAGATTAAGATATGGATCCAATTAGTCATTTTTTTTACTAATGTTCATCCAGTACATGGCCCAAGAGCCACTCATGCTAGAGGGTTACTGCGTGGAGTTATATTAGCGTAGGAAAGAACAAATGTTAGGAGCATAGAACTATCTATCTATCTATTTATCTATCTGTCTGTCTGTCTGCCTAACTCTCCCTTTATCTATCTATCTATCTATCTATCTAAGTCTGCTAGGATCTATCTATCTATCTATCTATCTATCTATCCATCTATCTATCTATCTATCTATCTATCTAAGTCTGCTAGGATCTATCTATCTATCTATCTATCTATCTATCTATCTATCTTTGTTCATATCTGTCTAGGTAGCTAGCTAGCAATCTGTTTGTTTGTATGACTGTCTGTCTATTTATCTATCTGTCTTTTTCTCTTCATAACTATATATTTATTATCTATCTATCCATATATATATATTATCTATCTGTAAAGATATATATATATATATATATACATATTATCTATCTATCTATCTATCTATCTATATATATATATATATATATATATATATATATATATATATATATATATATATATATATATATATATATTCACCCTATACAAGGCTCAAGGGAGATGGTTACTCTATGGAGTTACATTAGCGTAGGAAAGGATACACCTTATGAGTATAAAGCTGAAGTATACACGGAAACTCAATCCTAAACAAGAAACAATGGATAAACTTCTATTCCTGTTTAAAAAAGACCGGCGAGGAGTGTGAACCGTACGATAGACAAATCTATCTACTCCTATTGATATTCCTTATTTATTATTGATTATTTAATAAATTGTTGTTGATTATTATTATTATTATTATTATTATTATTATTATACGTATGTTTGCGTGTTTATTCATTGATTTGTTTATGATTTACTTAACTCGTTTGGTTATTTATTTATTTAGATTTTAGTCGGCGTTGATTTTCTTGTTTTGTTTAAAGTATTGGTTTCGTCTAAAGTATGTTACAGTATATGTGTTTATATAGTGTTACATTAAATGCGTTGTATATAGTGTTACTATATCTACGTTGTATATAGTGTTACATTATCTGCATTTTATATAGTTTCGCTTTATCTGCGTTTTATACTGTTACATTATCTGTGTTTTATATAGTGTTACATTATCTGCGCTGTATATAGTGTTAGTTTATCTTTTTTGTATACAATGTTACATTATCTGCGATGTATATAGAGTTATATTATCAGCGTTGTATATAATATTACATTAACTGCGTAGTATATAGTGTTACATTATCTACGTTTTATATAGAACTAGCAGTAGAGCCCGGCGTTGCCCGGGGATGTAACAGTAAGAGATAGATCAAGTATCGACCATCATAAAGACTGAAAAATAAAATTGACTAAGATTATTGTTTAAGGTTGACGGACACGCATGTCTTAATTAGTTTTTTTTTTTTTTACTTTTCTTTTTTTTTACGAATTGGTCAAACCCAAACTCAAACAAAAACATTGTTTTCAATCGTTATGAGTCTACCGATTGAATAGAATTTTATTATAAACAATTGTCTTGTAAATGGAATTTTGTTTTGTTGAAATCGGTTGAAAAATGTAGGAAATCCGATCCCATATATAAACGAACACACACACACACACACACACACACACACACACACACACACACTTCTCTCTCTCTCTCTCTCTCTCTCTCTCTCTCTACCTGGGTTTTATAATAAGTATAACTCGATATGAGTTGTCCTCCTTTCATTCTCGACAGCGATGCTTCTTAATCGTGATTTCAAATTGATTTCGTTCAAAAACAATTGTTTTTCCATTTTTTTGGCGCTGTCAGAACCACCGCAAGTTAATTTTATGTAGTCCTGTGAAGTTTTGTTGAAATCGGTTGAAAAATGTAGGAAATCCGATCCAATATATAAACGAACTGACAAACACACACACAACCTGGGTTTTATAATAAGTGTGATTATATTATCTGAGTTGTATATAGTGTTACATTATCTGCGTTGTATATAGTATTACATTATCTGCGTTTTATATAGTGTTACATTAACTGCATTTTATATAGTGTTACTTTATCTGCGTTGTATATAGTGTTACTTTATCTGCGTTTTATATAGTGTTACTTTATCTGTGTTTTATATAGTGCATATACTTGCATTTTTCATGTTGTTCATGTCTAAAATCTGGAGATTTCAACCTGTCTTTTTAGTATTTTTGCTTTAAGTTTGTAAATACGAAGAATGGGTTTGGAATTATCACCCAAATTTGAAAGACACAGCGAACACAAACCCGATTAATGCAAGCTATAAATGAACCCTGTACTGGAGGCTCAAAGATTTCGGCCGCTCGGCTAAAAATCAATCTGCAATTTTCCGCAAATTCTCACCAGCTAACCAACTTCCGTTCTATCATGGCGAATAGGTTACAGGAGCGATAATCCGACAACTGAACGTTTGCTGAAGCAAATAATGACGAATATCAGGTGTAAATTCTCTATTTTCTACACCATTTGCTACTCCATCATTCCGGAAGGATTCAAGCAAGCAAAATTAAGGTGTTAACTGATGCTTCTGGTCATGGTTCTTGGTTTACTCTTGACGACATAAACGCCGACATATAACCGAATAAGGGCTACGGTTCAATGGTTAACAAGATGTGTTCTCACCCTACTTCATAGTTAGCAAAAATACTTCATACCAAAATATGCAAAGCTAAGAAAACAATTACAAATTGTCAAGGTCTAAAACGGGTGACTACCCATTTTTAATTATACCTTAGTAACTTTATTTACATTATTCAGACTATTGTCCTCATCTTTGTCGCCATATTTAATACAATGTTTCGGCCGTTGTGCGCCCCGGCCTTCTTCAGGTGGTTGGAATGTCGAACTGAACCCTTTATTTCGTTCAATGGCGTAGACTGTTCTAGTTTCACGTGCCATGTTTAATAGATGCCAGTTATCAGTTATCTCCTGTTAATTTCCCTCTGAAAGTTCTCCACTGCCTTAACCGGCTATTGAACTCACACTCATTGGGTCCTGTCACTGGATCTAACTAACGCCTTTATCCACTGTGCCATGTGTCTTTGTGTCATTCCAACCACTTGAAGAAGGCCGGGGCGTACAACGGCCGAAACGTTGTAACAAATATGGTGACAAAGATTAGGACAATAGTCTGAATAATGTAAATAATGTACATAATACCTCATCTCAGTAATATAAACAGATACTGAAAAGCCGAAACGTTGTAATAAATATGGTGACAAAGATGAGGACAATAGTCCGAATAATGTAAATAATGTACATAATACCTCATCTCAGAAATATAGACAGATACTGAAAGGCCGAAACTTTGTAATAAATATGGTGACAAAGATGAGGACAATAGTCCGAATAATGTAAATAAAGTACATAATACCTCATCTCAGAAATATAGACAGATATCTTAGTAGGTATATAGCTCTATGTTCATTAAACGACCTAGAAGTGGAAGAATGGTCTTTTGACTGGGTATGATAACTGAAAGCACTTCGGGAGCCTATATTTTGGCCTAGGATGAGTGTGGGCAGGGAACTTTGATTTATAACTTTCTTAAGGTGGTAGAGTGTGAGGTGAGGTGAGGTGAGGTGTTCAAGCGCCGTAAAAGAGGAACTATTTTGCCAGCAAGCGGCAGACTTTCCCAGTCAACGTTATGAGTGATGACACCTACCTGACATTCTTTGCATACAGACCACCACACTCTCTCGTAGGTTGACTTGTCATTTGCCAAAATTTAGTGCAATTCGCACACATATAGAAAAATTGGAAATTAACTTCGCTCAACAATTTACTTATGAACACAACATTCAAAACAGGATCCCTTTCCTGACCTTTGTAGTTGATGCTAATAATGAGGATTGTATTGATTATGTGAACATTGTTCGAAAAACAATTATTCGAAAATATTTATTCGAATTGTAAATTGTTTGAATGAAAATGAATCGAAAGGACAATTATATTAAATGATAATTATTCGAAATGCAAAATTCTTTATTGCAATAAAAATGTCAAAATTAAAAGAGGAAATACCAAATTTTAATTATTCGAAATACAAATATCGTTAATAAAACAATTTAGTAAGAAAAAATCCTTACAACTTTAAGTTATATGATACTACACGCAGTCAGCTACTGAAGACTATTCGTTAAAGGATGCCACTGATTTTTTAAAGTTTTCCATTTATGTCGCGATATTTCTTGGCGATCTTGATATTTTGACAATCTGCTCTTACTTTTGCAATATGAATTTCTTGTAAGTCCTGCTCTCTTTTAAGAGTGTCTAAGAATTTCCATATTGTGGGATTATGGGATGACACTCGATGCAAAAAAAGCTCTATGGCTTCTTTCAAGAGCGTCACTTGTTCAAGATAAATCAACATTGTATTCCACTAAGCAAACCACATACGTATTTCAAACATAAGTATTTCGAATAATAAGGATTGTATCGATTACGTGAACATTATTTGAAAATAATTATTCGAAAAACATTTATTCAAATTGTAAATTGTTTGAATAAAAATGAATCGAAAAGACAATTATATTAAATGATAATTATTCGAAAGGCAAAATTATTTATTGCAATAAAAATGTCAAAATTAAAAAAAGGAAATGCACAAATGATAATTATTCGAAATACAAATATCGTTAATAAAACAATTTAGTAAGAAAAATCTTTATAACCTTATATGAGACTGCAGGCAAATAGTCAACTCCTGAAGGGTATTCGTTAAAGGAAGCCACTAATTTTTTAAGTTTTCCATTTACGTCGCGGTATTTCTTGGCGCTTTTGATATTTTGAGAACCTGCTCTTATTTTTGCAATATGAATTTCTTGCAAGTCCTGTTCTCGTTTAAGAGCGTCTAAGAATTTCCATATTTTGGGATGATGAGATGACACTTACCCTAAAAAATCCTTATACCATCCTTCAAGGGTATTATTAGTTCTAGGTAAATCCGCATCGACCCTTTTAAAGCAACACCCGATTTCAAACAGGTATTTCGAATAATTATCATTTAGGATAATCGTCCTTTCGATTAGTTTAACGATTAATTTAATAAACAATTTACAATTCGAATATTTTTTTCACTCTGATGCATGAAATACTCACAAGTTAAAATTCCTGTCTCATTAATTATAAAAATGAATATCCACACAAATATAAAATAAATGTTATAAAAACTTGATTGACTGTGACAAAATGACTTATTCTTCGGACACATTTTAATGATAATTATAATATATAGATAATTTATATTTCATAATATGTATATAATTTTGTATGGGATAACTATAT